TTCGAGCAGCACAGTTCCTGACCCTGTTTGTCTAGCTTTGTCGCTTCAAATTGTAGTGGTGGTGTTCGCTAGTGTTGGTCGTCGTGGCGGTCATGATGGGGGTGAGAGAAAAGTGAGTGACGAGAGAGAGGAGATGTACAGAGGGATCGGATTTGAGGGAAATAATTTGGGGTGGAGTGGGGTTAGTGTTGGTTTATAAATTTAATATAAACACAGAGACGATAAAGGAGTTATATGTTTTATTTAAATCATAAAAAATCACATTTTTAAATTTAATTCTAATATATATATGCAAAAGTGATTTGATCGTTGTATCTTGGGAGTGATTGTTCAAAGATATTGTAACAGTTAACTAAATATAATTTCACTTTAGAACATTGTGTTATCACGAGTCTTGATCGATAAATTATTATTATTATTATTATTATTATTATTTTGCATTTTACAATTTTGCAAAAGTTAGTGCAATTTGTCTTTGAAAATACACAACATCCAAAAATTCATTCTTCATTTTCGTAATTCTTATATACTTTATTTTAGTATTATTGCTTTTGATATTTTCTGGTGTAAATCTTAAGGATTCTAGAATTCATTTGTGATTGCTACAAAAGTGATTTGATCGTTGTATTTTCGGAGTGATTATTCAAAGAGGTCACAATAACTAATGATAGATAATTTCACTTTAGGACAATGTGCTGTAATGAATCTTGATCGATAATTTTTTTTTTTTTTTTACTATTTATCCAAAATTTACTGCAATTCAACAATATATCCTTTAAAACAAATTTTATATTTTTGAAGAACGAAAACAATTTATTCCTTCTAATCTTTTCCTTCTTCAACAAAGGTTGTGTCAATCAATCTTAGAGTTTGAACTAAATAACAGAAAGAAGTCACGAGGTCTTACTAACATGACAATGTGGTCCTTTGATAAGATTCGAGTACCTTAACTTTATCACCCACCTTTCCTTCCAACCAAATCAAATATAATATTATAAGATAGTGCTCTTCTCCCATCTTGGCTACCCAACATGACATGACGCTCCAACGGACCACCAAGAGGAAAAATAGCAAACCCACTATTGTTAGAAAACGAAAGATTCGAATGAAAAAGTTGTTTTTGAAAAGGAGATATTCAAATTTACTTGATTAGTGATTATGTAATTTTGATGTTAGAAGACAATTATTACATGTATCCTTTATGAAATAATAACTCTTACCTTTTATTTAAAAAATTGCTCTCTCTACAAAAGGTGATGACTGATGAATGAATGATCACATTTAAAACAAATTATAGAGAATTCCCGTAAGTATTCGTAATTAATATCTATTTTTTCTTATTTTGAGGAAAACAAAAATTTACTTCCCTAACGAAAATGTTTTCGTCAAAAACAAGGAAAGCTAAATATATTTTCAAAGGCTGGAAAATATTTTTCGTGTAAAAAATTTACAATCAAACACTCCAATGGTTGGTATTTTGGTGGAAAAATGTCATTTTACATGAAAAATTTTACAATCAAGCACACCCTAAATGAAGCAAAATTGTCTTAAAGAAAAATATCGTGTATTCAATTGTACTCTAATTATTTTCAAATTAAAATATGAAATACTGTAAATTCGATAACATTTTCAGGAGAAAATCCCGTGTTACGTGAACAATAAAAAATATTTAATATAGATAAAGTAATTTATCAATAAAAACACAGAATGACAAAGAAAAATGGAAGAAGATGCTCGATGAGTACTCGAGGGAAAGAAAAGAGAGAAAAATAATAACAACTTGTAACTTATAGGGAATAACCAAGTCTGTCCCCTTGATACTATCCTTTTCTTTTGGTTTGCAAATGCATTTTTTAGTGGCTCCCATCTGACTTGGTAGTCTTGATTTGATTCATTTAAAGTTTGTTTAAGATCAGATCAAAAGATAGAATCTTCCTTTAATGAAATTCTAAAATCTGTACTGTTATGACATGATAATTCGTAAAACAATTCTTCATTAACGTGTATTTCCTAGAATTCACCAGGAATCATTAAACAACATATCAATCTGTAGTACTGTTAAGATGGGACTTGGGATGGTTAATTAATTCTTTCTTTCAACCTGGATGGTCATATTTAAAGAATAATACTATCTAAAAAAGTATTTTTTAAGAAGCAGAAAAATTAGGACTTACAATTATTATATCAAATTCACTATTTGTTTATTGTCAACTATAAAAATTAGTGGGCTTGTGTACTTATAAGCTCCCAAACCTATACGCCGAGGTAAATATTTGACACTATTTTGTGAATCTAAGTTTCATGGCATGGAAATATGGGAAAACTTCGTATGTTTTTGACGTACTTTTATTTTCAACGAGCAGTTCAACATTCAATGCGGGCACATGTCCTACTATGATCAGGACAAAAGGGTTGCAGTCCCGCAAGAGTGAGCTAACCCCAAAAACCCAAAAGTGAAAATATGAATTTATTAATGTTCAACTTAAAAAATATTTAATATTTAATATTAATTAAACAATAAAAACTCCCTATTATTCTAATTTAATTAAAAACTAGAAAGTGAAAATATGAAATTTTCAAGAGATTGGAACATGAACTTGGAATTTAAAGTTTGGGAGTGAAGATACATTCTTCAAGTGATTGTTGCAACAGGAATTTGATATAGCTGTTGAAGACACAAAAGAACTGAAGTCAATTAAGTTAGTGCTTGGAAGTAATTTTTTGAAAATCACTTTTAAACAATTTATTCTATTTTTTTTTTTTCCACAATTTCCTACTTTTTAATAATACATTCTCAAAAACAAAAAAGAGAAAGAAAAAAGAAATCACTTCCACACTAGCTCTTAATTTTTACAATTACTTGTATTTACAAAATCTCACAATGAAGTTAAATCCATATTAAAGTTTTTGAATATTTTTATACAAAGTTTTCTTACACAACGGGTAAAGTTTCCAACTATATTAAAAATAAGAAAATACGAAATATACAATTTTTGAGTTTTCGAAATAATTTTAAAATGTGTTTGAAACGAAAACGCTAGCATTCTAAAAGGTTTCAATGCAACCTAGTTAAAAATTGTTGAAAGCTTGTTCTCGGAAGCGACTCTATCTTGTCAAATAGCTTAGTTCTCTGAATCGTTAAGTCTTGACATTGACTAGGTGATTCTATGAATTCTAACAAGATCATTTGTTGATCAATAGATACTTAGGATCCGTGGTCATGGTGGGCATAGCAATAACCTATAGGACTTCTTGATCTTGTATGTGACTAAAGCTCTCTTTACGAGTTTGAAACATTTTCTATAGGTTTTTCAATTCATGATATGTGTTATTTGCTTTTGAGTGCGAAAAATTTCTATCAAATGCAAATTAGGTTGTACGGAAGTTTGGAGGAACCAAGCCCGTACGCATATACTTATGCTCAACTTTAGTTTTATATTAAGGTTATTTTTGGTGTACATAATTTGAGTACATAAAGGTGTCTGCACCCCTCACATGGAATGTTACTCGCCCATGTAAGGAGTGTGGACACCCTCATGTACATAAAGGTTTATCCTCTATATTAAGCTCAGATACTCATGATTTATTTGTAAATTTTTTTGCTCGTCATTTACTTTGAAAATTAATAAAGGTTAGACTTTTAAGATATAGTTCTAATAATTCAAGGTGACTGAAAATATAAAATTTCACGTAAGATGGCCATGTGAATGAGAGTTGTGACGTTGTAAAATATTCCTCTTGAGTAATCATTCTGCTATAATTATTAAATAAAATTCATTTCCATGTGAAGGAACAGGATTGTCCAACTATTTCAGGATAGGGTTAAATACACATTTGGTCTAAAGTTATAGAAAATTTCCAAATTAGTCCTTCAACCTTTTTTTTTTTCAATTTATTCACCAAAATTTTCTAATGGTTTTAAATTTTTATTGAAATTTCGAATCTAGGTCAATAACATGGTGAAACCTTGCTCTAACGATTTCAATTCAATCAATGTTAGTTAAATTAACGTGAAATCCTAGTATATAAAGTCATTATGTACTAATGAGATGTTAGTTATCTTGTGAAGCAAACTTTAATGGTGTTAAATATGAAATGACATACCCCTAATAATTCGATTTCATTAAAATCAAATTTTAGTGTGTGATATTTATGTAAGGAAAAGAAACTTTAGGGGTTTTATCCGTTGATGTCAAAATGGATCAAGTCGTCTAAGATGACTCACCTCGTTAAAAAATTGGATCGAAACTAGTCTGACCCGGTTCAATTTGCTCGCAAATTGGTACACCATAATGAAAGTGTCGTGTTGGGATTTATTGTCTAGCCCAACGACCAAAAAATCAACTTAGTTGACTTGATTATTAAATAAATTAAAAGCTACAAGTAAATTAAGAGAGTTGTCAATATCCCTTCGCTCACAAGATATTTATTTTTTTTTTTCAATTATAACTGACTTAATTTAAATCAAATTAAATTCTAAAAAAAAAAATGGTGGTATGTACAATATTGATGGTTTCATGAACTTGTCTATTTCGCAAATTTGGAAGAATGTCTGAGCCTAGCACAAACTATATTTTTAAATAAGTAGGTTGAAATTTGTAATATGCCGAATTGGGTTGGTCATATGCTAGTCGATTCGAGTTGACCCATCTTTATTGACATCCATAGTTTAATCACATAAGATTTCATAATTTTATTGACAGAGTGATCAAATTAGAATCTTTAGAAAACTTTAGTGACGTTTGGGAGTTGTTTATATTCCGTTTAAATTATTAATAATAGAAATAAGTGCTGAATAATAGCGTAATACTTATAAATTCCGTGAAATATATGGATAAAAAGTGTTTCATCGATTATAAACAGTATATCTTGCCAAACACGGGCTTATTTGGAACAAAATAAAGGTAAAGAAATTCCATTATAACTTTTGAGGACCAAAGTGTATTCATCCCAAACATGATATGCCTTCACGCCAGTGCCTTCGAAACGACAAAGCACCCAACTGTTACAAACAACAAAGAGTGGAGAGAAACGGCTCTTGTCCTTCCTCTCAACGCACTCTTTTGCATTCTCTCAAATTTCCAATTCTTGCCATCTCTACCTCCTTCACGAGTTAAACAGAAAACGCGTCTGTGGACTTTCTTGGATTTTTCTGAAATCAAAATCCCATTTCAAAAAATCTTGCTAAATTACCCATGCTAAGTGCTATATTTAGGATAAGCAACTGAGGGAACCCAAAGTGTTCAATTCTTCAACTCATGATTTAAAGCTATGGCCCTTCAGTTTAGCTGGGTTGAAATGAAGATGAAGGCATTTTTTTGCTTCGTGTTTGTGTTAATGGTGCCTTTATATGGCAGCGCAGCCAGATTGAGCATGGAGAATCTTGAAGTTAAGAAGCACTTGAACAGTCTGAACAAGCCTCCTGTCAAGTCCATCAAGGTTCTCTTTTAGCGTTCTGCTGTCGAATAATACTTTTGGTGTACTTGTATTATAATTGCATACTTATTGTTGTTTCATTCATTGTGTTTGTGGATAATCAGAGCCCAGATGGTGATATCATTGACTGTGTTCATACGTCTAACCAACCAGCATTTGGTCACCCTTTACTTAAAAATCATACAATTCAGGTCAGAATTTTCCTTTCTTTTATGTTTCTGTCGATTTTATTTTTTATTATTTTTTTATAAGTATTTGTTTGGTGTAGATGAGGCCTAATTATCATCCAGAAGGCCTCTTGGGAGACAAAAAAGTGGGAAAAATTTTTGAAGGGCCAAAGCTAATTACTCAGTTGTGGCACAAGAATGGGAGATGCCCTGAGGGAACAATTCCAATTAGAAGAACAAAGAAAGAGGATTTGTTGAGAGCAAGTTCAATTAAGAGCTATGGCAAGAAAAATCACAGAAGCATCCCTAAACCAAAGTCTGCTGATCCTGAACCTGACCTTATCAACCAAAGTGGTCATCAGGTACTGCTTCCATCTGAGTCGGCTACTTGAATCTTTTTTCACGACCCTTTTGGTCAGTATCCATGTACACACATTTGAATTGGAACAGTTAAGGAAGAACAAAAGACAAAAGAAAAAGAAACCCATTTTCACTAAGTAGATTCTAAACTTTCTTGCTTTCTCTATTTGCAAAAAATTGTTTAAATGATATTTTTTGAGAGGGTATTTTGTTATTTTTGGAGTTTTTAGCATGCTATAGCCTATGTTGAGGGAGACAACTATTATGGAGCAAAGGCCACCATAAATGTGTGGGATCCTAAAACTCAACAACCAAATGAATTCAGCTTGTCACAGATTTGGATTTTGGGAGGTTCATTTGCGTCGGATTTGAACAGTATTGAGGCCGGTTGGCAGGTACTTTTCACCTTGATTAATTCCTTTTTACCTGTAATTTATTACAATCTTCATTTAATAATATCACTGGTGTGTACCAATTCTCTGTATAACAGGTTAGTCCAGATTTATATGGAGATAACAACACAAGGCTTTTCACCTATTGGACAGTAAGCCCTCAATTTTTCTTACTTTTTGTGCATAGAATTTGCTACGGAGACAGACTCAAAAATAGGGTAAAAACAGGATGGATATGTGTCGAAGCATGATTGGACACTTTGAAAAATAAAAAAAATGAAAATTACAGCCAATCAATTTTTGCTGAATCAGTCTGTCCTCTAACTCCCTGTTTTCAAGCCTGTCTGATTGGTTTTATTCTAGAATTAACTTCTCGAGTCCCATTGGATCATATTTTGATATATTTACAGCTAACATACATAATTGTTAAGAGTTTACTGGTGTTATTTGTGTGCTGAAATTTGGGAAAAAATGACAGAGTGATTCTTATCAAGCCACGGGCTGCTACAACTTGCTGTGTTCAGGCTTTATTCAAATCAATAATGAAATAGCAATGGGGGCAAGCATCTACCCTATTTCTGGCTACCACAGTTCCCAGTATGATATCAGCATTCTTGTCTGGAAGGTAATTTATTATTAAAATACATTGAACTGCCTGTCCCACTTTATATGATTAAATGGTTTGAAATTCAAACCTCTTAGCTGTTCTTCAATAATATAATTATGAAACAGACAAATGAGTGTTACAGTAAATTTATAAAGATTTATAAATTCAGTGAAAGTTACACATTACTTTGATGCTATTCATCTTGGTGTTAATAACCGATCTGGATGGTAATTGCATGTGATTAAATGACGGATTCATTTAAATGAAAAGTCATGTGACTCATTTCATTGGACCTATAAAGTGTAGCGATCTAAACTGGTGCTCAGAACCACTGGTGTTAGATGGTATTATTCTTAATTTTAATCACATGCTTATAAAATGTTACTTACTATTATTTATACATTTAGCGAATCTCATGAAAAAATTTGAATAGGATGATCTTACGTACACATATGGAAGGATTGATCATTTAAATCATGATATTTTGAATCTTGAACCTTTCAAATCATGACACATCGATATGTGAAATAGTAATAGAGAATAGATTTCGAATGTCGATGTGTCATGATTTGAATGGTTCGGAGTTCAATGTGTTATGATAAATGATTGTCGTACAACATGTACATCCAAGACCATTCTATAGAAACTTTTCTCCTAGCTAGCAAAGGAATGACAACCACTTTGTAATACTCTGTATTCTAACCCCAAAATAGCCTCCCTTGGACATCATCATGTGCATGACCTTTGGTATTACAAAGACCGGCATACCTCCGTACTCTATCATAAGGTTAGTAGTGTAATTTATTTCTAATGCATAGGATGTCAAAGAGATACTACTCAAATCTTGTTCTTAATACTCATCTTAATGTTATCACAATTGTTTATAACAAAAGAAGAACGAAAGAAAATTTTAGAAATTCATAGAGATAAGAAATACATAATTGTTATTTAGAGATGGAGCTGATTACATTCCTCCCATAACGAAGGAGGGAAGCTCCTTATATGGATAAGGAGACCCTTCACACCATACTGATTTACTACTACTTTAATAAAGTAGGACAATAAAACAACATACTTTAAAACTTTTACTAAGACAATTATTAAACACGACGATTGACGACTTAAAAAAAACTTTTACAAACACGGGGACAATTATTTAGATAAAATGATGAATTGAAAAGGCACACTTAAAAAGCAAGAATCAGTTTTTTAAAGGTGCAATTATTACAAATGATAAAAACTTTTATGCAAAGTTTCTTTTCAAATGGGCTGATTTATCACATCTGTCTTATTAAGGTGTTTAAAGGTTTGCTGCCAGTCCCATTACGTTCGAATTATTTGAATTAGAATGTAGTCCTTATTGTTTCCATCAAGGCCAATTGTGAGAGTCAAGTTTTTCTTCAAAAGGTTTTTCTTCCATTCTTTCAAGATTTTCCAAATTTTTGGGATCAAAATCATATGGTTGCGTTTCATAATCATAAATCTTGAGAGTTTTGAAAAACACTGTCATTGTAATTGGCAATTTCGATAATCCAGGACCAAGTAATCTGAATACTGAAATTGTAAATTACAATGACAATATTTATCAAGACTCCCAAGATCATTATGACTATGAAACACAATTATATGATTTTGATTCCAAAAATTCAGATAATCTTGAAAACTTGGAGGAAACTTTTTTTTTTGAAAAAAAACTTGATTCTCACAAATGGCCTTAGTGGAAACAACAAGGATTACCTTTCGATTCAAATTATTTAGACATACCGGGACTAGCAGCAAACCTTGATATCTTTGCTTTAAGTTTTTATCGTTTGTAATAATTGCATATTTAAAAATGCGGATTTTTTGTTTTTTAATTCTCTTTTTAAGTTTGTAATTTTGTCTAAATAGTTGTCATTGTGTCTATAGAAATCTTTAAGTAGTCTATCATCTTGTTTAATAAATGACTTTGAGTTTGTGACAGTTGCAAAGTCGGTTGTTTTATTATCTTACTTTATTAAAGTAGTCGTAAGTCAGTATGGTGTCGATGATCTCCTTATCCATATAAGGAGCTTTCCTCATTCATTAAGGGCAGAATTTAAGCAGCTCGAACTCTAAATAGCGAGTGTGTATTTTTTATGTCTATGAATTTCTGAGATTTTCTCTGGTTCTTCTTGAGTTTTAAACAATTGTGATAACCTTAAGATGAGTAGTAAAAACATAATCTGAGTAGTATTATGAGTATGCTCTGCAGTTGCCTCTTTAAGGATCGTGTGCATCAGAAAAAATGGTACCGCTGACCATATGATCTAGTACAAAGGTATGATGATTTTTGTAATACCAAATGTCAGTCCTATGATGATGGCCAAGGAAGGCAATTTCGGGGCTAGAATACTGAGTAATGGTCCTCACTCCTTCACTATCTCTTGGTATCAGATGGTGTATGTTCATGTAGTATTAGTATTGTGGTATCTAGACCATGGTTTTCGGACTATTGAAATCATTGGAACCAGCCTTGAATTGTCGATAAATTTGACATATATGCCTCTCAGTCACCAGAAGACACAATGTCTAGTTTTCAATTCCATTTAATCCCTACTATCACTTGCAGGACTGGAGTTGCCTTAGGTTCATGTAAATTTTATTTATTATGTAGTCCAAAATACATTTTATTGACTAGATATTCTGCAATTTTGTCAGGACCCCAAAGAAGGAAACTGGTGGATGCAATTTGGGGGTGAGTATGTACTGGGATACTGGCCAGGATATTTATTTTCGTACTTAACAGATAGTGCAACAATGATAGAATGGGGAGGAGAAGTAGTGAACTCAGAATCAGATGGACAACACACCACAACACAAATGGGGAGTGGCCATTTCCCTGAAGAAGGATTTGGCAAAGCCAGTTATTTCAAGAATATTCAAGTAGTAGACGACTCAAACAACTTAAGGCCTCCAAAAGACATTGACACTTTCACCGAGCAGTCAAATTGCTACAATGTACAACTTGGCAAGAATAATGATTGGGGCAATTATTTCTACTATGGAGGCCCTGGTCGAAACCCTAATTGTCCATGACAGTATACTAGGAAATATTTTGAATTTCTATGTAAAACCCAGTGTAGAAATGAGGTTTCATTGTTGGTTTTGTTCCTCCAAAACCATTCTTTGAGGATTGATTAGTAGTAAAAGGTGAATCTGTTCTTTATGTATTAGAAGGTTTTGCTTCTATTAACATATCCACATTAATGTTGGAAATGAGTGGTGTGAGGGGTGAAGTTTCTTTTTTTATGTAAAGTTATTTTATAATAATTCCAAATTGGAGTGATTGATTATCATTTTGAGGTGTTCTTGTTTTCTTGAGTCTCTGTAAGTGAATTACTTGTGGAAAGGCCTATAATTTTTGCATTCAATGACATCAAAGCAAAAGTAGTAGTATAATGTACAAAACCATTAAGTTATTATTTGTTAAACTGCTTCATTGGATGGTGGCACTCGACATATAGCAGGGCTCTCATTGGAAAGAGTCGAAAAGACCCTATTTTATGAAGAAGGATTTGGCAAAGCCAGTTATTTCAAGAATATTCAAGTAGTAGACGACTCAAACAACTTAAGGCCTCCAAAAGACATTAACACTTTCACCGAGCAGTCAAATTGCTACAATGTACAACTTGGCAAGAATAATGATTGGGGCAATTACTTCTACTATGGAGGCCCTGGTAGAAACCGTAATTGTCCATGACAGTATATTAGGAAATATATTGAATTTCTATGTAAAACCCAGTGTAGAAATGAGGTTTCACTGTTGGTTTTGTTCCTCCAAAACCATTCTTTGATTAGTAGTAAAAGGTGAATGTGTTCTTTATGTGTATTAGAAGGTTTTGCTTCTATTAACATCTCCACATTAATGTTGGAAATGAGTGGTGCGAGGGGTGAAGTTTCTTTTTTATGTAAAGTTTTTTATAATAATTCCAAATTGGAGTGATTGATTATCATTTTGAGGTGTTCTGTTTTCTTGAGTCTCTGTAAGTGAATTACTTGTGGAAAGGCCTATAATTTTTGCATTCAATGAGATCAAAGCAAAAGTAGTAGCATAATGTACAAAACCATTAAGTTATTATTTGTTAAACTGCTTCATCGGAAGGTGGCCCTCGTTGATGATATGACTTCAAACTATTATTGAATAATATTTTACTATCCATCTTTGTCTATATTCCCCCCTCAAGTCTTAAGATTTTTTTATTTATTTAAATTCTAAGATTATTTTTAGGTAAATTTTATATTATTAAATTTATTTAATAATGTTTGAACAAAAATGATATCTTTTATATTTATTTTTTGTACTCGTAACAGTTATATAGATGACAACATGGTGGAAGGGTGGGTCAGTAGAAGTGGCCCACTCGTCCCATGCCTCGAAGAGAATTTTCACAAAAAAAAATTTGTTACGTGTTTGCACACTTGGGCAACCCACAGGGCCCACAACCAACTCATGCCGAACCACGTGGTACTCGAGCCGAGATGATTTACATAGCCGAAGCCCATAAACCGAGCTCCACAGAAGCCCTGACCCATATATTCCGAGGCCCATCTATCATTGCCTCCCGAGGAGCTTCCGAAGCCTATATGCCGAGGCCCTTTGAAGGTGGACGAGGCTCTGTTGGCCAAAGCTCTGTTGCTGAGGTGGCATTCTCCGAAGCACAAAGCAACATCTTCCATAGACACCTCTCCCAAGAGATCTTCTGCACAAAGATTTTACTTGAATGATTGATAGAACATTTGTCATGAGTGTAAATGTTAAGTCTTGTCATTAGTAGAGGCGGCTATGTCAATCAATAAATGTATAACAGGCTAGGTGCGGCTGATGCCTACAGTTTGACATGTAACTCAACCGGATGAGGCCACGTGTACCCCGAACCAAAGGTCACGATCTAACTAGTGACACTATAAATATTTCTCCATGTATCCCATACAAAGGCTAATGCAAGAATCAATGCAAGAATTACTCAACTCTCTCTTTCTTATTATCTTGCAACACAAACGAGTTCATACATATTTAGATATACATTTACAAACATCGATTGGAAATTATTGTACAATCGGTCTTCGAACTTCCCGTCGGATTTCGAACGTTCTCGTCCCGCGCCGTTGAGCTACTTCCACGCCCTTGATCTGTCCGTTTTAGACCATTCACGTGTCTTAGCGTGTTGGACTTTCGCTCACGTGTGCGCGGGTGGATCCGACATCTGTTGGCAACATATTTTGGGGTCAACAGATTGACACCGTCTGTGGGAAACCATACTATAACTACGAACAACCTTGTGGTGAAAGCTTACTGAAGAGGAACATTGGGCATCTCCCTTGAAAAAGGATTTGTTCTTGAAAAAGAACAAGAGGAAGCCCCACGACTTAACAAAAATTTGAAGGATAAGACGCAAGAAAAATGAGTTCAAACGAAGACACATCCCCCAGGAGGGTAAGAGAAAATGCTAAGTGCCCCCTCAAGTAGCTGCCCCTGCAGCTCGGGATAGACCCCACCACAACCATAGAAGAGGTGGAATGCGCGCGAGAGCCCGGCTGTCAAGAGAAATGGCCGTCATGGCAGCTACTATGAGGAACATTGCTAGCCAAAACGTGGCTATGAGGGAACTTATGGCCCAAATGCAGGGCCAGGGAGGCTTCCCTATTCCTCCATAAGCCTCTCAAGGGCATTACTAGCAAGAAGATGAAGTTTAAAGCCGTAGGGTTACCACGCAGGACTATAGTCGAGGTAGAAGCCCATTTGAAAGGGAAGTAGAAGTTGACGTTTCCTCCAACTACGCTTCTGGCCGACCCACCGAGGTCCCTTTGAACCATGATAACTTCCCACCTCCGTATAAGCAAGAGCAGACATAGGAGGTCAGGCAGTGTATTTGACATAATTAACCTCGCTGAACCGAGGCTCAGACAACAACAACATCACGAGCCTTGGACAAGGCCACCACCTCCACCTCCAATGCCTCAACAGCCGGAGGAAAGGCATGAAAATTCCCCTCGTGTTGCCCCACCTAGAAATAGGCGCCAAAGGAGGGAGGAAGAGGCTAGAAACCGTCCCGGGACTTCTCACCAACAACTAAGGTATGAGGCTGAAGAAAACGATTCAGATGAGCAGCCGAGGTCTTGTGACTTGGACGACGACGATGAAAACCTGCCATTCTCAAGGAAACTAAAGAGTGCCGAAGTCCCGAACCACTATGTTATGCCAAAGATACCAAAGTATGACGGAAGAGGCGACCCAGAGAAGCACCTGAATGTTCACAAAACTTACACGAGCCTAAGGAGGGCCACCCTAGCTGTGAAATGCAGATCTTTTCAGTTAACACTTAGCGGAGCAGTTGAAATTTGGTATAGTAGGTTACCACCTGGGAGCATAAGAAGTTGGTTCGAATTCAAGACGACCTTCTTGAAGAGGTTCGCTGTGAGCAAAGAGGGAGAAACCCCCATCCAATGTCTCCAAGACATGAGGTAGGCACATGGTGAGTCCCTAAAGAGCTTCCTATCACGTTTCACCGATGAGATGACATATTGTGTGCAAGTCACCGATCGTAAGGCGTTATCTGCAGTGAGAGATGGTTTGAATATGAACACCCTGTTCTAGAGGGACGTGCAAAATGAAGACCCCACCACCTATGATGCCCTATTGAGATGATGAGACGGAAGATCATCAATGAAGAATTGATTGAGCATAGAAACAGGGCAAATAGAGGTCTCCCACCTTCTCAAAAGCAGCGTGCTAGAGGGCCGACATCCCACTTGATGGACTACCAAATAAACCAAGCTGGTAATGAGAGTTCTGGGCAAGCACTTGCCACCACCACTCTTAATGTCGTTCCTACATTGGCATATAAGGATATCAATCCAGTCACTGACACCCAGCAGATGAAAACTCCGCAATGATCCCGTAGGGATAGAGGCTGAGGTTGGGGTTCGAGACCTAGGAATAGGTCAAATCAGAACCCGCCTGGATATTGTGCATACCATCGATCCTATGGATACGACACAGCAGATTGCCGAGACTATGCTCACCGCTCTCGATAGAAACCCCCGAGGGACAGAAATGAATCGCCCCAGGCGAACAAGCCCCTACTTAGGTACGATAATCGACATGGGCATGAAGAGGCTGCTCCTTGTCAAAGGGATGTTTCTCCGCGACGATGGGAGCGTGATGCAGAGAGGCCAAGGGAAGGGCATAGACCCTGAAGAAACCAACAAGCTCAGGATGAGGGCCCTATCCACGAGGTGGATACCATTTTTGGAGGTCTATATGTAGGCAGTGAAACGCAGAACGCTAAAAGGAATTATACCCGTGAGGCCAAGCACCCCCCCGCTTACCAGCTATATTGTGGGCCATAACTTTCAGAGGGATTAAGTTCCACCTATTGTCTTCACCCAGAAGGACACTGAAGGGGTTCACTACCCCCACTGCGATGCACTTGTGGTAAGAGCAGTCATAGCCCGGAATGGGCTCAGACGAATGTTAGTTGACAATGGTAGCTCCATCAACATTCTATTCGGATCCACCTTTGATAAGATGATACTGGACCATGAGTTAACATCCACCACCACTCATTTGTATGGATTTATCGGAGATAGCATCACTCCGAGAGGAAAAATCACACTCACAGTAGAGATGGGGGAATCTCTCCAAACCACAATGAACTCCATGGAATTCCTCGTTGTTGACAGTCGATCGGCCTACCACGGATTATTGGGTAGGCCAGCCCTAAAAGAATTGGGAGCCGTCACCTCTATCCACCACCTATGCATGAAATTCCCGACTGAAAATAGGGCGGCAACGGTGAGAGGTAACCAAAGAGGCTCAAGAGAATGTTATCTAAGCTCCATCAGAAAAGTAGAGCCCCGGGACATCCACGTAATTATTGCTGACGTAATCATGACTGATGCCCCAGGTGATGCTCCCGTCGAACTAGAAGATGTCGAAATGATTGATGCACCACGCAATCCGAAAGTATTGGCATCGATGAGATTGATCCCCGCATAATTGAACACGAACCTCAAGCATCAGTTGAGAAACTTGAGAGCTTCTCGGTGGACCCCCGAGACCCATCCAAATTGTTGAAGGTGGGCAAAGGCTTGTCCAGCACTGTGAAAGAAAAGCTCAAGGATTTCCTAAGTAGGAACCTCGACATCTTTGCTTGGAGACATGAGGATATGGTAGGCATAGACCCCAAGGTCAGTTGCCACTACCTGAAAATTGATCCTAAGGTTGCCTCGCATAGACAAAAAAGCAGAGCCCTCAATCCTGAGAGGTATGAGGCGCTGAAGGAAGAAGTTTAGAAAC